CCCCAAAACCCCAAAACCCCCCCCAAAACCCCAAAACCCCTGAAGCTGTATTAATTAAGTTAGAAGTTAAAATAAAAAAGTAATTTCTAACTAACTAATATTATTAGCAATATTTTCTTCTATGTAGCCTGCTATAAATAGATCTTGAGTCATTGCAGAAATGCTAAAGTGGCAGCTATGAAGGTCAATAAAGAAATACTTAAATTGTAAATTGCTCCAGTTTTTTCAATGCACTATCTTGGATTAGTAGAACATGATTAAGTCAGGTTAAGCATGTTTCCTGGTCCCCAGCAGCCGATGATGTATGGATGGAACATAGTGGCAACATATGCGTATGTTATCCTACTGATATAAACACCATTGCAAATATCTACATCGCATGGATTCCACAATTAGCCATCTTAATTGTAAGGTCCATATATCATTCGCCCATCTCTTGCTAATCCAATGGGTATTATGTTTCTCTATCTATAGGTCAACTTTGAAACTGAATGTGTTAGTTTATCTGCTTTGCAGCCTGCATGAGAAAAGCATTATTGATTAGCTTAAGTTAGCTTTAGGGAATTATCGAATATGCAAGGAGAGAACATGTGATATCTATAAGTGTTGTAGGTGGAGGCTTGCCCTAGGCAAACATCTGGTAAGATTTCCCTTGGATTTATATTATTCTCATAAGCCCTAGGGAAAAAGGCATCATATCCGAAAGTTGATGTCCCACTGAAGAAGAAAACACCGTTTAGAGCAACACCAACAACATAGTTTGATGTGGGAAGGGATAAGTAAGGATATTTAGCCAAGGATTGAACCCATTCATCTTTGGTTTATAAGGAATCAATTGACATGAACTCCTCATAATTAATCTTCTTAGTCATGTAAGCTGATCTAGCCCAATCAGGATTGCACATCCAAGCATCCAATTCACCTTAAGTCCAAATCTCAAAGGAATAATCTTTCAGCCAATCGAACACTCCTGGGATTGTATCATCGCCTTCAAACATATCAGAGTAAAAAATATTTGGGTTAAAAATTCCTGAGAACCCATACGCACTCAGATCTTAACTGTAGGTAGGGTAAAGCTCTCCATAATTAAAATAGCAATGATCTGGTAGGGAGTTAGTTAATATTGTGTACTTAGAGATTTCGCCATAATAATAAGGGGGGCTTAGTCTAGTGCAGCCAAAATATAAAAATCTTTACCAGGTGCAAGTTTCTCTCAAAATAGAGTCAGGGCATCTTTATCTTTATGCGCACGTTATAGTCTCATACTAGTTTGTATAAGGGTAATATGCTTAAGTTTCCTCATTAAAGCAAGTAGTGCAATCTATTAATTGCTGAAATTTCTTACATTCGGAATATGATTATCTGATTTGCTAAGCATGAACATAAGAAATCAGTAAAATTGGTAAATAAATAACAGCCATAAGACTCTTCATTAATTAGAGTATTTATTTTGGTAGTTTAATAAATAAAATTATAATATATTTTTTTAAACATCCACAATTTATTAAAAACAGCATTTTGGGGTTTTGGGGTTTTGGGGTTTTGGGG